GTCCACTTGACGGTATTTAGTGGACTTATTTCCCGATACTTGGCACAATTGTTGATATATACACATATATATGTATATTATTGTATATAAATAAATATTTTTCACTAAGTGTTATACACAGTCCATTGCACAGCCATTTTTAGTAATTTGAATTTCCTACAGGGCATATGACTACATCATAATGTAGGTATAAGTATACCTATGTATATATGTGCTTTACTCATATTACTAAATAAATACATTTTTTAGCTTAACTTGAAGGAAAGCAAGTCGAGCCTCCTGCGAAAAGTAGTAAGCTTCATATTCTATGTATAAGAAATATATACATTTGTCTCAAAATGTACAAATATTGACATACATACATATATATATATCAATTATGATTATGCTATTAATTGTCGAGTTTGATTTATATATTGTATATATATATAATATATAAGAGATATGACGTGTTACAGTTTACTGGTGGATACTACACATAGGTACATACATACATATATGTTTTTGTATGTACATATATAAATATTTTTGTTGTAAATATGTTGCACATATTATATATAAAAGCCAATTTACATACATATATAACAATATTCAATTAAATCATATATGTACCTATTTTAGAATTATTAATTTTTTAAATGCATACTTGAAATATTTTTATGTGCAAAAGTATGCAGTTACATACATTATGAACATACAATCGTAGTGTTCTGTTTTGTTCCATTGCTTCGTCTGTGCTTTGCTATGAACATTCGCGCGCAATTGTGCGATGTGTTTGCTGAAGTGCTAAGTACAGCAGCTTATGAGTACATTTGGAGTCAAACATACTCGTATAAGGTATAACTAAGTAGTTGCAAATACATGCGTACCCTGTAGGAAAATCTTTTCCATATCACCGTATGTGAAGAATAGGTAAGGTAATAAGGAACAGAACCATATTTAAGTTAACGGATATTCAAAATGCAATTCATTTTTTACATAGAATAGAAAGGCATTTTTAATAATGAGTATATTTTGGAAGTTCTAGAAAGCTGGTTGATTTATTGTGACTTTAAATAACCAGTTTTATAACCACCAGACTTTGTTTTTTAGAACATAATCCTATAAAGCAATCCAATCAGGAAGTGATTTTAAAATCGAAGTTTTTGCGGTAGTAAATACTAAATGAATCAACCCAAAGATATAGCAGGCAGATATAAAAAAATATGAGGAAAATCCGACACGGTTTACTTATATTGAATGAGAAAATTTCATCGTATGTTCGGTAAAACTTTTTTTGGATAATAATTGAATAATATAGAGACTTCTCAAAACAGGAAGTATTGAAAATTGTAATTGCAAAATATCTTTAAACCAAAACGAAACTCCTTTCAATAACGAAGACTTGAAGATATCCATCGGGAGCATTCCATCACATCACATCAAAAGCTGATCACATAGTCAAAATGTCAAACAGAATTCAGATATATTTGGAATATTAAAAACTAATTTCTAACTATCGAACGAAAGCAAAGAATTCTGTTAGAAAGAAAAGAATAAACTATAGATCTTAATGTTAACTAAATTCAAATCTCAGATGAAATATTCTCGTGAAGCAATCGAGTATAAAAAACGTAAACCAACAATCAATTACGATATGTAATGAAATAGAGAGTATCGGTTAGTTAAGTCTCGGCTTAGTTAAGGTCTTTGCAATAAGAGCTACATATTACAATTAATATATTATATATAGTCATTCAATTATTTCCTACAGGGTTAGCTTTATGCCCACATATGTATATATATGCAGAATATAGCACCGCAAAACAATTTCCATCATACATCTGATAGATACAAATACATATATATACATAAATATGTGAGTATCATGCAACTCGTCGACAGAACAGAAAAATCATATGCGAAAAATATCATTGTCTGCCTGCCCACCTTTCTGCTTACAAAGAAACAATAAAGAAAAAAGAAATATATAACTACATATGTACTTGTATATGTCTATATAATATCAAACCAATACAAATACACAAGAAAATCATATATATATCAGTATATGCAATTTCAAGTTGCTTCCCGCCATTTTTGTTCCCAAATCACTGTGATTGCCCTGGCAAGGAACTGGTCTTCGAACAAAACACATATATTTTATCTCTTTTCGACATCGTCTACGCTCTTAAAATCGTTGAATAGTCTCTTTATTTATGCATTTTTACTCTTTTCCATATTTCACTTTTAATTCTTTTTTTTTAAACAACTCTTTGGCACCTACTTATGCACCGCAATTCTATGCTCACAAATTATACTGAGTAGGCAATCCGCTGAGTTGCTCCTACATAGGCGACGGTAGCAAAACAAAACAGCAAAAATAAAAGCAAAATGTGAAAAAATATAAAAAACCAAAAGCAAATAAAAAGAACAATTTATAACAAGCAGCAAACGCTCACTTCTCCGTTTTGTTTTGCTTCGACATTCGCCACAAGACGACTCGTTTACTAAGCGCCTAACATATTGATAACAACTGACAAGAATTAGTTGCTCCTACTTCCCATATATAATATTTAGGTGTGAAAATTAATCATTTTATTTTCAACTTTGTGGTCGCAAGCTTTCTTTAAGGATTCGAGGTTTATCCCATTTAGATCTGAAATTTTTTAATATTAATAACTTTTTACAATACTTTCTACTTCATGGCTTTTTATATGAACTTTATTAATTTCACTATTATAGAATACAGCAAGTAGAGCCACTGTTGGCTTTATGCACAAAATCACGTTTTAACTTCAAAATTTATTATAAATCCTTATTTATACCCATTTGTTAGCTTAGGTTAGGTAATGAGGCCACGAACAATCCCACTTGGACAGCTAGAAACGCCGACCCGTTGGAATACCCAGAACTCCTAAGTACACAGTCCTGAACAGGATAAAAATCTGGGGCCATTCTTGGGCAGACCCGGCTCTCGTATTCCTATTCCCCAGTATTTTTCAGAGCTCGTCGAGTCACATTAAACGATATATATTGTCTGTATATAACAAATTTATTATTATTTAACAAATATCTAAATTTTTTCGGAAGCTCAATCAGTAATATTTCGAATGTGGTTCCTTTTAAGTATCTGCAGTATTTTTTTATAATGCTTGATTTTTTATGTTGCTTATAAAGTCTTATTTCTATTCGTAGAGACCTAAACTTAAATTAGTTTTAGTTTCTTCAAAGAAATCCCGAAGCGAATACCTGGTGAATCTTAACATTATTGATAATGTTTTTAACGAGCTATATTATTAATATTGGCTGTTCTTTGCTCTCATCTCTTCAGATCTGATATTAAGTTTGAAATTGCTTCGAAAACCTTTCCAGTTGGAAAATGCGTAACCTAAAAGTAGCAGATTCACGAAAACCCCCTAAATTAAGAGAAGAGCTAAGAGCATCAAATCAATGATCTACTTTTGCAAAAGATAAAAGTTAATGAAGAAGAATCTAACCTTCAAGTACAAGACCTATCGTTATGTCGACGCTTTGGTTCACCAATGATGCAAGAAGTCAATGCTGCATTCTGAGATCTCTATTTATCTTCAAAACATTTAAGGAAGTCTTTTCGTCAGCGCAAAATTGTGAAATATTCTTTTTTATTGGCTGAAGAACTCAGACTCTCTTTCATTTACAAGTAAACAGTAAAAAAGTAACAAAGTAAACTCTAATAGCTCCATCTATGTGTCGACTAGTGCGTTAGAATCTGCTATCCTTTATCGACTTCATGACATTTCATCTAAATATACATCTTGTATATACAATATATTGAACCTTTGTTGGTCAACTTTACTGTTTGACTCCTCGCCTCATATACGAAAGAGCACTTTTTAAAGAAACTTACAGCAAGAATATAGCTCCTTTGCTGCTTTTTACTCTTCTTTTGAGAATATAACGTGATCTTCTGAGCATGAGCGTAAAACTTCTTAAAGAGCGCGTCACATAAGCAAGAGCGTATTTTATATAATATAATGTAAGTTGTCTTGCATCCTCTTCTAGCTTCTTTTAGCACTCGCTGGTCTTTTGCTATACATATTTATTTACACCGCAAGCGCTTGAGCAGGTCTTTGCCATGCTAGCTGCTGAGTGGCTCTTCTAGTTGGCTGATGGTTCAGCTAAATCGTCAGCGCTGCAAGTGCATATCTACTTGTACATACATGTAGTTGCATATGTATATATGTATGTATGTGTGACATTTACGTTTGTTCGTTTCTGCATTTTTCTCCACTGCAGCACACACATACAAACACTCCATTGCACGCGCATTAACGGCCTACCTGTTTGTAGGTGTGTGTGTAGCCTCTTGTTAAATCTTCACATACATACAAGCAGCTACTTGCGTGTGTGCATTGCTGAGCTGCTGTTCTGGTTTCTAATTGTCGCGCTTGCTGCTGCCGCTACGCTCCCGCTGCACAACACTCGTGGCATGCAACTGCAGCCTGCCACTGACTCTTTGATTTCGCTGCTTTATTTACCTTTTTTCGTCGCGCTCTATGTTTTTTCCATATTTTTTCTTTTGCTTTTTCAATTTTTATTTTAACGTTTGTTTTTTTTTCCTTTCTGCTTCAAATGGGCTCGCATTGTTGTTGCGTGCGCTCGACTCCCCGCTGTTGTTGTTACTCTCAGCTGCATTATGATTGCGCTGTCGTTCTGTTGCCTGCATCTCTCGTTGTTGTTGTTTGCTGCTGCTGCTGCGACTGTTGTCTCCACTAGTGTACGCTTGTGTGCTGTTGTTGTTGTTGTTACACTGACTCTGTGCACTCGCACGCTCGCTAATTGTTGTCGTTGTTGTTGGCTGCGTTGTTTCACCAGCTCGCTGGCTGCCTGCCTGCCTGCTGCCTGCTTTTGACTGACTAGCTGGTGTTTTTCGAGCGTTCTGACTGTCTGCATTGGTATGAGTGACAAATGCCGTCGCTCAGATTTGCTCGTGTGTCGGTGAGTAGTTGACGACGTCAACGCCGCCGCCAGGAGGAGGTGGCAGAACCTACACCGCGCGCCGACTAAAACGGCAGCACAGTTGATTGAGAACAACGAAGCAAGTAAGACGTGTTTGTTGGTTGGTGGTTAACACTTTAACGCTGGTTTTGTTTTTTGGGAACACTCTGCTGTACGCCAAAACGCCAACCCAACAACGCAACACCAAACGACAATTCACAGTGCAGACGTACGCTCGCGTGGGTGTGTGTGTGTGTATTCGTATGTGCGTGTGGTTCAGCTAATAGATGCGAATTCGCAAAAGTCGATCAGTGCCAAAATAACAATAACAATAACATTAAAAAAGTAATAAGTAACACAAAACCATTTGAAGACGTGCTAAATACTTCTAGTTCATTGGACATAACAACAAAAACGTTAGAAAATATTGTTTCAAAAATTGTTCGAATTTCGTATTGTTCGAAAAAATTGTAAACAAAACGATTTGTAAATGACTAAAACTTTTTCAGTGTGAAATTTGCCGATTTCGACAAATTTAAAATCATAAAAAGTGAAAAAAGTATCAACAAAGTGCTGTGAAAAATTGTAAGTTTAAAAATCTAAAAAAATTAGAAATATATTTAAAAACTAAAAGTGCAAAAATAATAAAATACAAGCAGTAAAAAATATCTTTGTGCTTTTCTTGACAAAATTTTGACAAAAACTTAGTGAGAAAAATAAAAAGTGGCAGTGTTTTGAATTTGTGCAAACCTAAATTATAGAAATGAAGACCAAAAAAAAAATTTTTTTTTTTAATTTCTTTTTACTATAAAATTTTAAATTTCAGTTCTCAACTTAGCCAACTTAAATATTAAAACGAATTATATAATTGTATTAAGACTTGTCACCACCATATTGAGTTTTATAATTTTTTTTTTTATGGAGCATGTATAACTTTAATTTAACAAAAAAAATTATTAAATTATTATTAATTATTAAAATATAAATCTTTTTTTTATTAAAGGAAGAACAGGAAATTAAATTTTTTAAATAAATATTTTTTTATCAATAATTTATTTTAATAATCTTCAACAAAAATAAAATAATATAAAAATCCTTTTTATTAAATCTATATTGGAATCAAATTACAACAACCATAAATCAAAATTTATTTTGTTAAATAAATACTTTCAAAATTTTTATGTAATCAAAATTCAATATTTTTCAATTTGGGTAGAAAATCAAAAAAAAATCATTAAAACCAAAAATTAATTTCTTTAAAAAATATAAGATTTAGTTTTTTTATACAAAAATTTATCAAAAATTATTAAATAATAATATTTCTTTTAATTTTGATGCTTTTTACTCAATAAAAAATGTTTATATTAAAAAAATTTTTTAAGTCGGAAATGATTAACTGAACCCCAAACTTTTCTTCAACGAATTGCTGATTTGTTTAATACTAACAAAAAAAATTGATTTTCAATATTATTTTTTTTTATCAATTTATTTTGTTAGATTTAGCAATTTTTTTCTTTAATTTTATGTAATTCTATTAATATTTTCAAGTGTTAAAAATTATATGTTTACATTTTACCAATTAATCATTATCTTTTACACAAATTATATGCAACAAATAAAAAGTATAAGTAATTAATTTAAAGATTTATAATTTTACAGTAAAAACAAACTTTTTGAGTTCAAGTTTGAGAGTAAAAGGAATTTCACAACTGCACGCAACAATTTCAAACAATTTGCCATAAAGCGTGAGAACAGTGAAAATCATTTCAATTGCAGACAAGAATTAGAAAAAGTGCTGAATTATTTAAAAATAACAAAAAAAAAGTCAAAAAGTGCTAAGCAAAATTATAAAAATTAAAGAAACATCGAAACATTGCAAACACAACACAACTACAACAAATACTAAAAAGCAAATATAACTAACAGTAAGAAACAATTCTGTTGCGCGCAAGAATAATCCTGTGCGAGCGCGATCCCTCACACTGCCGCCCACATTGCTGCGCAGGTACGGCGAACAGGTGTGTATGCGCACTTATGCAAAAGCAACAGTAACAACAAAGCGAGAGAAAAGAAGCAACAGAGACAAACAAACTCACAACCACAGAAATAAAAACAAAAACTCAGCTGCAAAAGCGTGCAGCAAAAATCAGGGAAATAAAAAACAAAAAAAACGAAATTAAATCACAAAAAATAAAACGATGGCTGTTGTCTTTTATATGCCCGAGGGCGGCGGCGATGACTCTGCATCGTCATCGAGTGGCGGTCACGGCAGTGCGGGCAGCGGCAGCGCTGCTTCGTCGACATCACAATCGCCCAACACCACCACATCGGCTACACAAACGCCCATGCAGAGTCCGCTACCGCCGCATTTTATGATGGCCTTCTATCAGTATATGAGTAAGTTGCACTTATTTCCTTATATTTTATGTGTATTTTTTTCTCTATTGTTATAATAAGTTCTTTATTGAATTTAGTGATTACTTTTATTATATTTCTGCTATTCTTTACTATTATTAAAAAATGTAAAATCTATATAATACAGGTATACCATCTATATAGGCAAACATTTTCCTATTGGGTGTGTCACCCATTTTATCGATTTTCATTTCAAATTTACCATTAGTCAAAACAAATTTTCCTATAATATATACAAATATATATATTTTTATTTTTCTCGACGACCCTATCATAAGTAGAAATAATGTTTGAGGTTTTTTAACTAGAAAATTTATTATGGGATATTCCTTCTGCAAAAGAGTTGGTAATGAACGAGTTGCAAATGGGTCAAAGGCTTTAGGGGTCGATGCAATGAACTTTCTAAGAAAATTCGAATTTCCGATTTTTATGAAAAACGCAATGTCGAAACATATAAAGTTTTTCTGACTCTTCGTTGCCGAACATTAAACTTTATATTAGTTCAAGCTTACCTTTTAGCATAATTTTAGGCTATTCAACGCTGAGCATAGTCTACAAATTGGATTAAAGCTGCCGAAAATATGCCATAGTAAAACAAAATATGATAGTTTAAGCTTATTATCGTTAGCATACTTTAAGGCTAATAAATTCGAGGTATAGTCTACAAAGAGGAGCAAGAAGTTCGACAATATGCAGAACTATGCAAATTTTTTATAAAACAAAAACATTTATTTTTAAGAGTTATCAGCAAACTTTTAGGCTATTAAACATGAAAATGTTTTTAAGGTCGTTATTAATAAATTTATTCTTAAACGTCTTTAGCATAATTTTAGACTATTTACCGACAATATTTCAAATATAGACGCAAAACCCGGAAAATATGCTAAAGTACAACAACATTTTAAAGATCTCATAATGTTCTTTACTAAACCACAAAAATTAGATAAACTAAAAACTTAGCCAAATTATTATGAATATCTGAAAAAAGATTCGCCTCTCGCAATATCTATATTAGTCACTTAATAACTCTATTGATTCTTTCTTCTTTCCTAACATATTTTGATCTCCATTGCATACTATTACGCGCTCTACACACACAATCATTGATAGCTTCCGTAGCGAAAGATAAGTAGAAATATTTAATTAAACTTCGCTTTTCCAAAACTTTCCGGTAAATAATTTTTAACAGTCTTAAAACAGGAAAGTTTGGGTTTGGCTTTTAGCGGTTTCTGCAACACTATTCTTTAATAAAAATGAAACAGAAAAAAACTTTTATTTTTCGAAAAAACAAACGCATAAAGCCTGAAGGTAGGCAGCAGAACAAAACTTAGGTGAATATATTGCATACTCTTAGGGTCTTTATTTCTCAAGCTATATTTTGTGCATATTTCTGAAATATGCATACGTGTATACATATATAGTATATACATATATATGCATAATAAAATAAATATATAAATGAATACATTTAAACTTATATAAATAAAACAAAATTTCCAAAAAAAATTAGAGTCCTTGGATTCATTCACCTAGCAAAATGGCAAATATTGTCACCCAACACTTAAACTAAGCAAATATTAACAGAATGAGGTTTTAATATATAATTACATATGTATGTACATTCATCACTCATATGTAAAAAAACGTTAAAGTAAATAATTAAACAATAGTAAGCATCGCTTGGCCATAAGAAATAAATCAATGAGTCATTGCCATTTATTACTTTATTGCTATTGTTATGAGTAGTTACAATGCAGCCATACAGTCAAGTAGTCGACAATCACAAGGTAAATAATAACTATTGCAGTAGTTACAAATATTTATGTATGTATGTATGCATTATATATGAAATGAAGTGCTAAACAATGGCAATATTTGAAGTGCTTGAGTGCTTAGCTTTATTGCCGATTTTATTGGAACTGTCTCACGTTGCTATAAATTAAGGCAAATACAACCATATAAAATGGATTAAAGTTTAATGCAAAAGTAAATTATAGCATGAAAGTTAAATGAATGCACTAACAAAAACACTTGAACTTTTATGGGTCTATCTTATATAAACTCGGCCTTGGGAAAGTCATAAAAGTGTCAAAAATTACACAATTTTTTCCATACAATTTCAATCATACCAAAATTTACAGTTATATTTAATTTTTATAGAATTGAGGAGAAGAAAAAATATTTTTAAATTTGTATTGGTACAAAAATTATATATTTACGTATATACATATACTATATAATGTATAATTAATCTTAATCACAACAGGCGAAACCAAGCCACAACGACTGATATTCCATAAAAAAAATATAAACTTATTTAGGCATACTATTAAATATACCATATACCTAAGTATGTGTGTTTGAATGCAAACAAGCCAACTCGCAGCTATTAGCCGCTTATGACCAATTTAACACAGTGGGTTGGTCAGCTGGGCGTTGAAATGTTTTCAACTGTCAAACGGTCAATAAACCGTATATATATATATGCATGTACATACTTGTAGTACATACACATCAATATAAATACCGCTCATATGCTAGCATATCATTACAATAGAGCAAAATATTAGGGCAACCATTAATGTATTCAATTAGGCAAAACAAAGGCTTGGTCAAAAAGCTTAAATAATAAAAACTAAAATAAAATATTTTATATATGAAAGTATATAATATTTGACGTATTCAATTGGTGCTATTTAAATTAAATATGGAAAAAAAAATTATAAAAAAGTAACAAGTACAAGAATAACAATGGTTTAGATTTATGTGTTAATTATATAACATATATAATAACTAAAAAATGTAAATAAAAAATAAAAACTTAAAATTAAACAAAGCTAATATTGATAATTTAGATAAAAGAGGATGTTTTATAAACTTAAATAATAAATAATTTTTTTTATTAAAAGTATATACAGATATACTTCAACATTAATTTTGAAATTAAATGTATTAAATTTCTTGCTACTTAATTGTAAAAAAAAATAACAAAAATATAAAACTATATAAAATGAATTAAAAGTGTTTATATTTAAACAGCGTATGAAGCATTTTCAAACACTTAAACTTCCGCACATCCGCAACACTTTTTTTACATATATATTCTTGATAGTGTATTAGATATAAAAACGAATCTGATACAAAAAAGTATTAAAATAAATATACAACCGCTTTAATACGTTTAAATAACAACATTATATAGTAAGAATTAAAAAATAAATTTTCTTTTAGAAAACTAAAAAAATATTTGTTCATTATATATAGAGCACAGAAAATAATTATTATAACTAACAAAATATTTATTAAAACCCATCTTTTTATTTTCTTATTTTATTATTTTCATACAAAAAACATAGAAATTTAAAAATTTGATAATATTTTTTTTTTTAATATTTTGTGGCAAATAATGTTTTTTTTCATAAATTATAGCTTTTTACCCTTATGGTTTAAAAAGACATTAGTTTTGTTTTTTTAATTTTTCTAACTGTAAAAGGTAGGTTTTGCAATAATTGCTCCAAATTAAAAAAAATTGCAACAATAAACAATGAAAATGATAAATAAACCCAATCCAATAAATACCTGCATAAAATACGTAAGCGACACGCCCAAACTTTGCTGTCCGCCTGACCAAGTGACCAGCGTTTGGGCATTATTTCGGCCACAGCAAACGCCCCAAATGTCTGCTCCTGCCACAAACGGTAACAAGATACTGCTTATTTAGACATTTATTACCACACCCGTGCTTTGCATGTAAATAATCTCAATACAAAAAAACAAAACAAAAAACCAACCAAAAACACAGAAAAAAGTAAAAACAAAACAAAATGAAATGAAAGCAAACAGCAGAAATGCTGGACGACAATACTACAGAAAACTAGAAATCCAGTTTGGCGCGTGCCACACCGACTCATAAGTAAAACTTCAGGCGATCGAGCCAATGCAATTGCACGCAGGCGCATATTTATGCTGTAATAAGCGCATACTTATGAGTTTGTGTGCTTGTATATTTGCTTATATGGATATACTTATGTATATATGTTTGTGGTGTAGCATTAAATTGACGTTAACTGTGCGCTGCTGAACTTGTTGCACGTTAGTGTGGCTGCAACTAATGATGTTGACTTGGCACGCCCATATTTCACATTGGCCATTATGAGTTATTTTGCATAAGGAATTGGCTGGCTTTAAGCATTTATATTTGAGTAAATTTATGAAAGTAAAGCAAAAAAACATTAAGAAAAAAAAGTAAAAAAAAATTAAATAAAAAAATACAAAAAAATTTAAATAAAGAAATTTTAAAAAATTATTAAACAACAAAAATTTTAAAATCCCAAAAAAAAATGTTAATCATAAATACTAAATCTATTATGCAGTATCTTGCCCATCTCCAAATCTCAAATTTTTTCTATAACCTTATAAGCTCATAACCCACAGCTGATATTTCGCCTAAGCTACAAAATAAAAGCTGAATAGTAAAAAAGCTTAAAAAAAGTCAAGCTGCTCACTACAAATCGCCTATATACAAGCAAAATGCGCACGCGATCACTGCTCTTGTCGGCACATTAGCAATCGCCAAACACACACACATGCATACTTACATACATAAAGCGCTCTAAAGCCAAAGAACTTTAGAGAAAACACAACTGGTTGCTAAGCTGCCGTTTGAACTGCATTCATTATAAAAATAAATGTAAAAAACTTCACGAAAAAGATAAAAAAATACCTACAACAACTAAAACAAACGCTTATAAAATTGTGCTTAAAAAATCACAGCAACACCACATAGTAGAAATGCTTGTGGAAGAGGAAGCTCTGTAACTGCATGCAAGCTGAAACTGGATAAACGGGTTCTTTTACTACAATTGTTTGCAAACCAGCTAAGCGAAGCTTACAGAAATGTAAAAACCAAAAAAATAAAAACGCTGCGGTTGTAGCTTGTCACTATGTAGGTGTGCAGTTTATGTGACTTTTGAAGGTTTTGC